ATGTGTGCAGCCAACTTAACCCGAACTCAGCCATAAGCAACTAGGCCTGAACTCAGGCGTGGCCATGCGTACTCTCGCCTGGGACGGTAGCCCATCCACAAATGTGTCAATATCAAAACAAAACCCAACAAAGTGCACAATCATCTATGTTCGTATGTTGAACTTCATTCACACCATACGTAGTCAAACTGTGCTTATCGGAGGTACTGGCGGAGGGACAAAGTAAACGAGGCCCGGGCGAAGTATTGGCGGTGTGTGTGATCAAGTAGGCCTGAGGCCTGTCTGCACATTTATTTTGGGAAATTTCCGAAGATTTCTTATCTGCGCACATAACACAGCATCGACCTTTAACTCGGGAGTTGAAGGAATATATCATGAACCCTTAATGTGATCACGCCTGGTCACAGAATCGGCACACTGCGCCTCTGTTCCCGAACAAAAGAAATCATGCCCCCGCTGTTGTGATTTAAAATCCGTTTATAAACTGTGACATTAAAAAAATTGCTATTACAAATAAAGCATTGTTTTAACTTTTATCAATTCAAATATGTATGGTAGATAATACAGTAGACTCTCAATAATCCGCACATGAGGATGGCCGTGTTATAATTCAAAATCCCGGATAATCCAAAAATATAACCCTTTTCCGCGGTTCTCTATGCCAAAAACCTCCAATGTAGGGAAAATTAAGAACGAATACTAACGATCGACCAATCGATGATGCGCGTGCTCAGCTTCCCTGCTTCCACTCAGCAGAAGACTCTGCCCACTGATTGGATAGCAGCAGAGCGACGCCAATCAACATCAATAAAACTCCGCCCCACTGTTGTAAAGATATGGCAACTACTGTACTGTAGAGGCGATCTCGTGGTTTTCGGGTTAACCGGAGCAATATATTTGCACGGTTTAAGCACGCCACTTGTAATTAACATTCCAAGAACAGCAATGTTTAACTGTTTTTCAAATATTAATCTGGGCTTAAGGGAAAATCCATGAGTTATTTATTCGTGTCAAAATCTCAGGTAGATAGTTAATCTCGATAATAGAGAGTTTACTCTACATGTGAAATATGTTGCGCCTCCCGTTTGGCTCCTAGTTCAAAGTCAAATGTACGGTACGCTTGTTAAATATTGTTATGATTATACCCAGTATTGTAATGCATTTCAATTCAATGTTTTCATTGTTTATTTGCTGTGTAATTATCGACCTTTTTTCTGAATGCTCATTTATTTATCATTTGCTGTATCCGTGAGGCGCCTTGTGACAATTCACCGTGAAGCGTGCTATGTACTAAGTCAAGATCGATTTAAGGCTTAGATACGTAATGGGGATTCTGGCCAAAGTTCGTGTACAACCCAAAATTGGCATTAATATTCAGCTGCATTTGCACTGCCTGAGCGGACTGATCCATAACGTTCAGCCACACGATGGACTCGCTGTCATTGATCATCTTGGCGTTGACAGAGAGCATGGCGGAGGGACACTTCACTGACACATCTGACGCCAGTGCCACGGACCTACAGAACGTGGCGCCTTCGTTTTTAAGGTTCCGGTTCATCATCTCCTCGTAGAGCTGCGCCGGCGTGTTCTGAGGCACCCAGTCTTGCACGGAGATCGCGAGCTCCCGTTTGTAGATTGCCGAGTTGGGGTTGTTGAACATGAGGCACAGGCACTTGTCGGAATCCTTGATGCGGTAGACGAGGACTCCGGTGCAGCCGAACAAGCCGACCCGTCGCTTGCGAAAGCCGCACGCCCGTTTCTCGTTCGGCAAAATCTCGGTGGGGATGCTGTACTCCACCGCACCGCTTTCCATGTGCCATCTGTAGGGAGTTGCGGTTCGTTTGTTGAACCACTCACTCAACCACCCGCCCATTCATTTGACCTTCATACACACTCTCCTAACCACTCAATCACCCACTCACCCATTCACTCACCCACACACTCTCGGAATCACTCGCAAACTTCTCACCCATCCACTCAATCACCCACTAACTCACTGACTCACCACCCACTCACCCATCACTCACCCACTCACCCACACCCTCTCACAACCACCCACCCACCCTCTCACAACCACCCGCCCACCACTAAACCATCACTTTTCCAATCACCAACTCGCCCATCTATCTCTTTGGGCAATGTCTAAAGGCAATTAAGGTGTGTCTTGAGACAAGATGCTTAAGATGAACTTTGGACTCGGCGTGGCACTTAACTCTGAACACAAGAGAGTCATTGACTTCAGGGGTAAGTGCTGAGTTAGCGAGCACCTATTAAGTTAGTACAGTACACGTGTTAAGACGAGTGGTGGTGTCAGCAATGCGTACAACACTGGCTGGCCATCAAACAAAGACGGTCACTTTATCGCGTGCTTTCAGATGCTCTTTTTGTGGCCGTCTGGAATGCTCTTCCGATATTAGGAAGCCACTGGAGCTATCCACTTTTAAATCATCCAGTTTGAAAACTCATTTCTTTAGAATTGCGTTTTGTGTTTAGTTTGTTGTCCTTCCCATACTCCTCTAAGTAGCACGGTTGGCTACGTATATTCCGAATAAAGATCTGGACAAAGTCCCATTGGTGACCTCTTTCAGCATGCAAGGCTGCATTAGCTGTGGTCATGTAGCCCGCATGCCCAGCCACCGCATGCCTAAACAGTTTTTGTTCGGCCGGATCGAGGGGGCTAAACGGGCGCGGTGCAGGCTTAGAGAAGATATGGATTGATGTGGTACAGGAGGATGTGGAGTTGAGTGGGCTTGCCGATGACTGGTTCCAGCAGTGTCAAGATCGGCCTCTGTGGAGGAGGCTCGTGAAGGACGCTACTTGGCAATTGGAGGCAGTCGCCCTCCAGCAACAATGGAGTGCAGAGGATCGATGCTCACAACAACGAGCGGAGCGCCGGGTGGCTAAAGCACAGCACGTTGGCGCAGTAGGGGGTACATCTGTTGCATCTACCGGTAATCTCAGTCGGTCGACCAACCAATGGCACCTGTTGGGTCTGTCCCGAGAACTCCTATCAGCAGCGAGCCTTCGACACTTCACGTGCCCTCAAAGTGCACCTCGCCTGTCACAGGTGCCGTGGCTACGTCACCGTCACTTAGTGGCGAATGGCGGGTATTGGTGTACTGTGTGATCTATTACACAGAGCCCATTGGTATCACCGGCGCATCCCCTTGGCGTGGTATCCGTTGACGCAGAGCGGCGCTCCGAGCCGCATGTTCCAGGGAGCCGACTTCCACCAGCGGGGACACAACCGTGGAGAGGGGCACGGACACCGAGTTCCCGCACCTTACCCGCGTGGTGCATTACCGCGCGCACCGCCTCGACCAACTTCGGGTGGGCCGACAACTGGGAGTTTGCTCTCTGAGGACCCTGTTGGGGTGGCCTCCCTTGGCTGGTGTTTGTGCTTCTACTGGGTTGTATGGAACCGGTAGAGCGGACCGTTGCTCGTCACCCATCCACTATCTCTGCTCTGTGTTTTTTTATCCCACTGTCACTCGACCCATCAAACTCACTGTCACCTCATCCATCACACGCAACACTCCATTAGACTTGCTCAAACAATGGCGCGTCCCATACTCTGTTTATTCTTTTCCACCAATATACACTTATAGAATGACATATTGTTCGTTTTGTAAGGTCTCCACCGGTAAAAACACATCAGAGTAAAATGTATCCGAATACACCACCACTGTTCACATCACGCCACTTCTTCTTCTTCACACACCAACCCCAAAAAATGTTCGTGAAAGTCATCGTTCCTACTTCTCGTTTAGTCCAATATCTTGCACTGGACGTATTGTATGAACTAGCGTCAATTAAGATATTGTCGTCCACATCCACGGGAGAAGACGAGTTGCCTGCATTTGCGCTCGTGGCTGTGGCAGAAATAATTTATAAACCTCACACACATTTTCACTTTTAAGCACGCATGTTACACATGTTATGCGTGCTCAAAACCAGCGGCTGGTTTAACAGATGTCTTTGGTTCGAACACTCCCTCTAAACAAAGGGACCCTGTTAGTGGGAAAAAAACACTTTTTCTACCAAAAAATGCAATAATAGACCGACAGTAATGGGTAAACTGGCTTGCTGATAAGACCCAAAATTAAGGAACCTATCACGACTTTTTTAAGACAAATACTGCCTCATCATCACATGCAAACCCCTCAGGACCGTAACGGTACCCACAAGACCACACCGCCAGTTGATGCTATCCTGCTGAATGCAGGCCAAGGCAATGATGGTGGTGGTGAAGATCGGACTCAGCCACGTATTCACGTCAAATGGCGCTTGTCCCGGAGTCGTCTCCAGCCCCGGGGTGCACCGTCGATAATTGTGCGCGCAGGGCTCTGATGCGATCTGTGTGTGTGTGTACGTTGAACTTCTTTCGTACTTAGCCAACCGTGCTAATCGGAGGTGCAGAGGGAAGGACGAGAAATTTAACACCGGTTGAGGTGTCTGACCGGGCACTGTGTCCGAAGATCCAAAATCTCCTGGATCTGTCCGTGTTGGAACACCGATGGGCGCACCGCGTGTGCGAAGGTGGAACCTCGGCGCTGGTGACGTCCATCACTCGCTGATGTTAATACGCAGCGACCGTCGCAGGCACCATTCTTGGTCGACGGCATCCATCTGCCGGCTCGGTGACGCTGTCGTTGAGCGAGTCTCTGAGCCACACGGTGGTAGTAGTAGGGGAAGGATGTACACGCTGCAGAGGTGGATATTTCATCTTTTTTGGTTCTTTCGGTAAAGTCACGTAGAATGAGAATAAAATAATAAATTGATAAAATAAAATAACACAATAATATTCTCACGACGTTTCGGAAACAACACAAGCGGTCTTCATCAGGTGAAGGGACGAGACTGTCTGGTAGGACAGCGCTGGAGTGAAAGAGCCACGTTCAGATCACGACCTTTAAGCTGTGTGAGAGGAACAAAGCGCTTTGACAAAGGAATTAGCATATCATTTAGCATTGAAATGGCTGAATGATTAGCTTGTGACTGGTCACAGAAATAGCTATGTTAAAAGTTAAAGCATACACATCCGCAGAGGCACCCTTGATAAAGATAGAGAAAGGTAGATATTTGTTGCTGTTGGAATGCTGGAGCACCAGAGGTATCTGTTGTGCTGTCTAGAACGCCAACATGGCAAAAGACTAATTATGTTATTTGCATGTGCAGCTGTAGAATGAAGGGCTAGCGTGCTGCTCTACGAATCTTCCCAATTAAGTTCGATTCCCAGCCATGGATGACATCAGTCGTCATTATCTGAACCGATCCTGAGCCTAGGCCCATTGACCGTGGAGAAGTGCGGTCAAACGACCACGCATGACAACAGAATGGGAAGGCCGTCCTCCAGAAACGGATTAACAAAGGGCTGTGCGCCCACACACGCAGAGGTGGATACATTTTCTTAATTATCCAGAATGCTTGACGTTAGTACTTATTAGGCGTTATCACAGAAAATCTGCGCTGAACGAGAGCCCACTTTCACTTTGCTCAGTTACCTAAGTTGCTTTTTTTTAAATTTAGCAATCAAATTATTGACGTTTAATTTTTTTGCGACCGGCTTGCCCGTGCTTTCGCCAGTGCTTTCGCCAGTGCCTTCGTCCGTGCCTTCGCCCGTTCCTTCATCCGTCACCGTCACGCGCACAACGGACTCGTCAGATGCAGACATCGCTGCGTTCACTTGAACCTGCAGCACTCTGCTCCTCACGGTCAAACAATTGGAGCCCGCGTACGAGAACGCGAACCTTCCATCTACCCTCACCTCTTCCCTGCTCATTTCTTGTAGCTTCCGTAGGTCGATGTCACAAACGCCAGGGTGGTTCTCCATGGAGAGGGAGAACAATTTGCGCTTGTGCAAGTACGGGTTTTTGAAGAGCAGCACAAAGTATTCATCGGTCCCCTGGAAGCGAAGGCCCAGGATGCCATGGCAGCCTTTGATGTCCACCGTCATCTTTCGGAATCCGTACAGCGCATGCTTATTTGGCTTTATTGATTCGTCAGATTTAAACTGGCAGTATCCTGACTTCATGAAGACCCTGCGCAAAGTCGGAAGAGGCGAGGTGATTAGACACAGCAAGGCATAGTTTTAAACTGCCACTTGTAATAATTGTGGCAATATTTGTATTACCAAATCTCACCCACCATAAAAAAATTAAGTGTACTTGAAGCAAAAGTAAAATAACAACGAACCAACACCGAGGGATGAAAATTCAAACAATGAACCTGAAAACAAAAGACTAAAAAACCGCAAAGTCTAAATACAAAATCTGGCCAGCCCCCTGGAGTTGCACTACCTCGGGTGCCACCACAATGAACCCCAAATAACGCAACCCAGATCGAGGTTACGGGCATACCACTTACAGCGTTGTCTCTCACAGCGCTCTTTCCTGGCGGTGCTCCTCTTGCCCTGGAGGAAACATTCAAAATCCCTACGCGAGACCAGCAGTGTGCGACGCTGCCCGGTTTCTCTTGAGCCCAACGCGTGCTCTGCCAATGAGAGCAGCGAACGCTCAGTGGAGCCGAGCCAATCGGTGCCTGCCTTCCACCCGCCCACCTTGAACGCTTCCCGCGGAACGATGGGTTTGATTATTTTTTTTATTAGATTATTTACTTGCTTCATCATGTGTCCAGTATCATAGTTAAGGCTTTACCTATACACCCACATGAAGCCCTCACACGTATATATAGCTCAAAGGTTGAAACAATAAATAACCCTGTCGGTAACACATCTCCATTGGAACCATGTTAAAGTGAGCTCTTATAGCGCTGTTTCCTACAACGCTGTCGGTAGGGCATCTCCATTGGAACCATGTTAAAGTGCCCTCCTATAGCATACTGAGTGCTATAAGAGGTATGCTTGTAAACATAAAAGGGTACTACAGTATAAAAACGAAAATACCTTTTTCGTAAGCTATCAAACAAAAGGGCAAGTACTGTTTAGCGAGCACCTATCAAGGTCAGCACTGCTCGCGAGGGGGTGGTGTGACTGGTACCACGCACTCCCAATGCTGTGTCCTTGATAGGGTATCAATGTTCACACACCACACCAGGTTCTCATTGAAGGTTGTGTCGACATAGGCTTCAAAGGCTGCCTCATATATAACTGGCAATTGATGTTAGCCGTTGCTGGGCATCCAACTCTAGTCGCCTGCCTTCGTGCACAAACCACTGCTGCCTACACACACACACACAGGCCTGCTTAGTCCTAGATGTTGAACTTGTTTTGCACCGTACATAGCCAACCGTGCTAATCTACGCCATGGTGGCGAGATGTTCATTCCCTCGCCTGGTATAAAGGAGGTCGTGCGCTCGATCCCGATCCTGACACCAGCTGTATATTTGTAGTTTGCATTTTAACACGCAAGCTTTCGCGACCAATATCATCCATAATACAGGTTTTTTTGGGGTTAGATCGCGTAAATATATAAATGTGTCGTCAAACCCGCCACCACACAACACAGCCAATTACTAAGGTGCCAATTCGTTTCTAGTAAAGCACTAACCATTGTGGCTTTGCTCTCTAACACACCGGTTGGTGCTGTACTGGTAACGAATTGGCACGTTTAGTTTACGTGACAAACCCCTTAATGATTGGTTGTGTCGGGTTGTGGCGGGTTTAACGACACAAGATTTATATATTTATGTGATCTAACCCAAAAAAAGCTGTATTATGGATGGAGTTTGCATGTTCTCATGTTCTCCCCGTGGTTACGTGGAATTTTCTCCGACTCATCTGGTTTTTTCCCTCCACATTTAGAAAGAAACGCGTTTAGAGCATTTGGCTGCGGCTATAAATTTCCACGCGATGATGATGATGATAATGATTGATTGTGAGACCCAGGTCGCTTCTGAAAAAGAACACCATAGCTCCAGTGGGCATTGCCTAGTAAAATAAATAGATTGTTTAATTTACGGTCTCGAAAAAGCTGTAATCTATTCAGCACATGGCCCCGTCTAATATATTCGCTTCATCTCAGCAGTGGACGTCTCACGAGGCACGTTCCTTGGGTCCCCACTCCACCCTAAGTCTCGACCAATGACCATCATCCCTCGAGCGACGTGTTCAAGCCCACCTGCCTGACTTACCTGTCTAGATTTTGACACATTAAAAAACAGCCGTTCTGAAATTCCGAAGCCAATGGCGTAACACAGAGCACCTACCGCGCGTGAGTGTATGCAATGTCTGCTGTGTGCGTGCGTGAGTTCAAACTCACCGCGGCTCGGAGAGCGTGCGTCTGGAGGCGTTGGTCACTTTGACAACGACCTTGCGCTCCGTCTCGAGGGCACGGAGCATCAGCTCCTCCTCCTCCTCCTTCTCGGGACGCGACTGCGCCATCGCTGTCGGAAAAGGTTTCCACCCACGCGGCCCGCCGCCCCTGCACGATCCTTCCGAGCCCGTCGCCTTTGCGTGTACACGGGAGCGAGCTGAAGGCGGTCTGCTGCTTCGAGCGACGGCTCGTGACCGGGGTTCTTGCGTGTCACGGCGGGGGTGATGTCATCTTCCTCGTCCGGTGTGCAGGAAGGAGGTCGTGGGTTCAGATCCCGACCCTGACGATGCCTGCTGCTGCTGCTGTATTTTTCGAGTCTGCGTCTCTCTCTCTCTCTCTCATCATCATCATCACGGTGGCTAGGAGATGTTAACTACCTCGCCTGGTGTGCAGGAGGTTGGGAATTCGATCCTGACCCTGACGATGCCTGCCGCTGCTGCTGTATATTTCGAGTCTGCGTCTCTCTCTCTGTCTCTCTCATCATCATCACGGTGGCTAGGAGATGTTAACTACCTCGCCTGGTGTGTTCAGGAGGTTGGGAATTCGATCCTGACCCTGACGATGCCTGCTGCTGTATATTTGGAGTTTGCGCAATTCTCTTTCATCATCATCACGGTGGCTAGGAGATGTTAACTACCTCGCCTGGTATACAGGAGTTCTAGTATACAGGAGGTCGTGGTTTAGATCCCGACCCTGGCGATGCCTGCTGCTGTAGATTTGGAACTTGCGTGTGGATTTCTTTTCGCGGGGTCCTCCGGTTTTCCCCTCTACATTTATAAATGCGAGTTTGGGTTATTTATATTATTTTGCTGCTATAAACGTCCACGTGATGATTGATGATGAGTTACTCCATTGAGCTGCTATCATTTATGGCCAGGTAGCTCCTGAAAGAGAAGCTAATAGATCGGTGGGCTTTAACCTCGTAAGATATTAGTAGTTTCGATTGACTTGTATAATTTTTTTTCGAGTGATTTTCTTTTTTTAATCTTTTTTATGCTTTGCACTCCTATCGTGTTTTTGTATTGTGTTTGTTGTTGTTGTAACGTTCTGGCCCGTGCCTCTACTGGACATCTTTCAAAAAAATATAGCTTCATAGCTCATCGGATTCCTCCAGTATAAATATAATATTCAAATTCTGTTTTTAATTCAAATATCTCTTTCTTTACTTGCATGGTGCGACCCCACTTTGTTAGTGGGCCTTACCTGGTAAAATAAAATTAAAAGTTGAATATAAAAAAGTTAATTTCAATGTTACGTTAGAAAGTAAACTATGGTTATTTTACTAGGCAAGGCTGCACTGAGATTCTACGTATCTCTTTTTGTTCGAAAAGCGACCTTGGCCATCACAAGCGATAGCTCAACAAATTGGCGGCTTACCACCATCACCATCATCACGTGGACATTTAAAGCAGCAGCCAAATACTCTGAACACCATGCTTAGTCCTAGATACTTTAAACACCACGCTTAGTCCTAGACACTCTAAACACCACGCTTAGTCCTTGATACACTAAACACACGGCTATAGATTTACGAGATCTAACCCCAAAACAACCTGTATTATGGATAGACTACACTATACACTACATTATACGTTTTACACTACACTATACACTACGTTATACACTATGCTACATACTACACTATAGACTATGCTGCACACTACACTATAAACTACCATACATTACACACTACACTACTATACACTAAACTACGATACACTGCACCACTATACTAAATTGAAACTCATTTCTTTAGGACTGCTCGTTGCTGTTGTTGTTGTGTTTAGTTTGTTGTCCTTCCCTCGCACCATCCGATTAGCAAATGTGGCTATGCACGGTGCGAAAGAAGTTCAACATACAGTACATACATAGAGAGGATGGATGAAGAAGCGTTCAAGTGCCTATGAGCAGAGGAAATGCCATTATTAATTTTGTAGCTGCCTGAATAAATGTGAATCTCAAAAGTGAATGTTCTCAGATCGAGTGTCACCACAAGAATGACTCTTAAAAAGTGGTTGGTTTCTACAACTGTGGTTCGGCGTTGAGCAAACTCAAACGTACGGCGGGTTGTAAGATTTTGAGAGAGTTTTAATCAACGAAACCCCCCCAAAAAATATCCAGAAACCCAACGTATTCGAAGAGACGTGCCAATAATACGTGACAATAACCATGATCAAAAGTGTCGCACAGCAGGAATGATGTTTCACAGAAGTTAAAGAGAGGGTTGGGTTTTTTTTCCAATTTAGGTTGCACATACTCTTGAAGAGTCCACAAGCGCATCGCGCGGCACTTTCAGATGCACTTCTGCGGCCGTCTGGAACGCTCTTCCAATATTAGGAAGCCACTAGGAGCCGTGCACTTTTAAATCATAATCTAGATTGACAAACTCGTTTCTTTACAACTGCTTGTTGTTGTATTCTTGGTTCTTTCGGTAAAGTCACTTAGAAGGGAAACACCTGATGACGATTGCTTGTGTTGCAGTCGAAACGTCGTGAGAATTGTATTGTTTAATATTTTGTATTATTTTATTATCACGTGACTTTACCGAAAGAACCAAGAATATGAATCCCTGCAGTCACGAAAGCTTTCAATCAAAATTTGCTTGTTGTTGTGTTTAGCTTGTTGTCCTTCACCCGCATCTCCGATGCGTACGCTGGTGCGAAAGAAGTTCAACGTGCAAATACAATTTTTATTTTTTTAATAAAAAGAGCACATTCACAGTGGGGCTATTTTTCTTCTCTGATAGGAGCAGGAAATCGTTGTTGGGTTTTATTTACCCCCTCTCCACAACACCGTACATTTGACACCTTTGCACATTCCACAGAGACTGACGACACAGACGAGGTTCGGCTTCGTGTCGCCGGATCGTCTCACGACTCGCGGGCACGTGGCACGCTCCCTCTCGTCACCTCGCACGTGCCTCTGCATGTGTATCGACGATTACGAACGCAACATTAACTGCCATTGAAATATCATCCACTAAAATATGATTTCCCGGGTACCCACACATATATTCGCCCATCGTATAATGACGAAGTAGAAATCGTAATATTATGCATAATCTGTAAGTGTCCATTAATAAGGAATCAAGCACTTTGTTGAAAAGATGCTAATCCTCAATAGAAAACCTTCATACACCAATGCTATCGCCCATGAGCGCTACTGTGCTTTAAAATATATTCAACAATGTAACAGACACTCAAACTAAATTAACAATGTAACATTGAAACCACACGAGGCCCAACTAAGGCCCCATTATGTGTGCAGCCAACTTAACCCGAGCTCGGCCATAAGCAACTAGGCCTGACCTCAGGCGTGGCCATGCGTACTCTCGCCTGGGACGGTAGCCCATCCACAAATGTGTCAATATCAAAACAAAACCCAACAACGTGCACAATCATCTATGTACGTTTGTTGAACTTCTTTCGGACCATACGTAGTCAAACTGTGCTTATCGGAGGTACGGGCGGAGGGACAAAGTAAACTAGGCCCGGGCGAAGTATTGGCGGTGTGTGTGATCAAGTAGGCCTGAGGCCTGTCTGCACATTTATTTTGCCAATTTCCAAAGATTTCTTATCTGCGCATATAACACAGCGTCAACCTTTAACTCGGGAATTGAAGGAATATATCATGAACCTTTAATGTGATCACGCATGGTTACAGACTCGGCACACTGTGCCTCTGTTCCCGAACAAAAGAAATCATGCCCTCGCTGTTGTGATTTAAAATTCGTTTATAAACTGTGACATTTAAAAATTTGCTATTACAAATAAAGCATTGTTTTAACTTTTTTCAATTCAAATATGTATGGTAGATAATACAGTAGACTCTCAATTATCCGCACATGAGGATGGCCGTGTTATAATTCAAAATCCCGGATAATCCAAAAATATAACCCTTTTCCGCGATTCTCTATGCCAAAAACCTCCAATGTAGGGAAAATTAAGAACGAATACTAACGATCGACCAATCGATGATGTGCGTGCTCAGCTTCCCTGCTTCCACTCAGCAGAAGACTCTGCCCACTGATTGGATAGCAGCAGAGCGACGCCAATCAACATCAATCAAACTCCGCCCCACTGTTGTAAAGATATGGCAACTACTGTACTGTAGAGGCGATCTCGTGGTTTTCGGGTTAACCGGAGCAATATATTTGCACGGTTTAAGCACGCCACTTGTAATTAACATTCCAAGAACAGCAATGTTTAACTGTTTTTCAAATATTAATCTGGGCTTAAGGGAAAATCCATGAGTTATTTATTCGTGTCAAAATCTCAGGTAGATAGTTAATCTCGATAATAGAGAGTTTACTCTACATGTGAAATATGTTGCGCCTCCCGTTTGGCTCCTAGTTCAAAGTCAAATGTACGGTACGCTTGTTAAATATTGTTATGATTATACCCAGTATTGTAATGCATTTCAATTCAATGTTTTCATTGTTTATTTGCTGTGTAATTATCGACCTTTTTTCTGAATGCTCATTTATTTATCTTTTGCTGTATCCGTGAGGCGCCTTGTGACAATTCACCGTGAAGCGTGCTATGCACTAAGTCAAGATCGATTTAAGGCTTAGATACGTAATGGGGATTCTGGCCAAAGTTCGTGTACAACCCAAAATTGGCATTAATATTCAGCTGCATTTGCACCGCCTGAGCGGACTGATCCATAACGTTCAGCCACACGATGGACTCGCTGTCATTGATCATCTTGGCGTTGACAGAGAGCATGGCGGAGGGACACTTCACTGACACATCTGACGCCAGTGCCACGGACCTACAGAACGTGGCGCCTTCGTTTTTAAGGTTCCGGTTCATCATCTCCTCGTAGAGCTGCGCCGGCGTGTTCTGAGGCACCCAGTCTTGCACGGAGATCGCGAGCTCCCGTTTGTAGATTGCCGAGTTGGGGTTGTTGAACATGAGGCACAGGCACTTGTCGGAATCCTTGATGCGGTAGACGAGGACTCCGGTGCAGCCGAACAAGCCGACCCGTCGCTTGCGAAAGCCGCACGCCCGTTTCTCGTTCGGCAAAATCTCGGTGGGGATGCTGTACTCCACCGCACCGCTTTCCATGTGCCATCTGTAGGGAGTTGCGGTTCGTTCGTTGAACCACTCACTCAACCACCCGCCCATTCATTTGACCTTCATACACACTCTCCTAACCACTCAATCACCCACTCACCCATTCACTCACCCACGCACTCTCGGAATCACTCGCAAACTTCTCACCCATCCACTCAATCACCCACTAACTCACTGACTCACCACCCACTCACCCATCACTCACCCACTCACCCACACCCTCTCACAACCACCCACCCACCCTCTCACAACCACCCGCCCACCACTAAACCATCACTTTTCCAATCACCAACTCGCCCATCTATCTCTTTGGGCAATGTCTAAAGGCAATTAAGGTGTGTCTTGAGACAAGATGCTTAAGATGAACTTTGGACTCGGCGTAGCACTTAACTCTGAACACAAGAGAGTCGTTGACTTCAGGGGTAAGTGCTGAGTTAGCGAGCACCTATTAAGGTAGTACAGTACATGTGTTAAGACGAGTGGTGGTGTCAGCAATGCGTACAACACTGGCTGGCCATCAAACAAAGACGGTCACTTTATCGAGTGCTTTCAGATGCTCTTTTTGTGGCCGTCTGGAATGCTCTTCCGATATTAGGAAGCCACTGGAGCTATCCACTTTCAAATCATCCAGTTTGAAAACTCATTTCTTTAGAATTGCGTTTTGTGTTTAGTTTGTTGTCCTTCCCATACTCCTCTAAGTAGCTCGGTTGGCTACGTACAGTGCAAAAGAAGTTCAACATACATCATCCGATACGATCGTAACACCCTTAATTATTTTTACTACACTTTACATCACCGGGACAAACCCTTGTGATTCACATCTCATTAACAAGCTAAAGTATTTTTTTTTTTACTAGGTAAGGCCTGCTGAGATATAGAGCTATTTTTCAGTAGCAACCTGGTTATCACTAATGATACATCAACGAAGTGGCTTATCACGTGAACATGTAGAGTAGGTGGTTATTGCAGACATGATTCCTTGCAAAATGTTTCAGTTTGGTGTTTTAACATCTTAGCACGGCTGTTTTATTGCCAGAAAGGGTAAAACCTATTCTTATATTTTGATACTGGCAATGGAGGTCCCGTGATGATAAAGGTACATTATCTAGATCATTCCTTGAACAAATCAACCAAAATGAAATCGACCTTCTTGGATCTCAGAAGCCAAGCAGGCACGGGCCCTGATATGTATGGGACCTTCTTTTGCCAGTAAATTATGAAAAACAATACGAATATGTCTTACCTTTTCTAGCAATTAAATAGATGTTAAGATTTTTGATTTAAAGCTTTCGTGACTGCAGTAATCCATATGCTTAGTTCTTTCGGTAAAGTTACGTTGAAGGGAAGCAATAAAATAATAAAAAATATATAAATAATATAAAGAACTAAGAATATATAGATGTTAAGATGTTCAAACACCAAAATAAACCTTTCGCAAAATGTTCTGCAGTTGTGGGACTTTAACCAGAGCGCCTCTCCCTCGAACCACCGTCCTCCGCTAGGATATTATCCAGGGGCGCTCCTAACGGAGCCTGATAAGCCTGTCCCCTATCAGGCTCTGCTGTTTTTTTTCCTGGATTTTTCTGTTGCGTGTAGCCACTTTAAGATGTTTCTTGCTCATGTTTTTGTTTGTTGCTCACAGGGCTGTACCTCATACACGAAACTGAAACGTGGACGAGGGGTGGGGGGGGGGGACTTGAACCCTTTCCCATTTCCGATGACGTACGTGCACATCATCAGTTTTTCTCTTCTGATTCCGTTCCGATGACGTCGGCTGGGGGGGGTGTGTGTTTATCCGGGGGGATTCCGACCGGGGCCACCACACCCCCTCTTAGGCTGTCCCGCTACACGCACACCCACTGCACTCTGCCGATATCTCACACTCACATGGGCGCGTGCAGCGTGCGGCTCGAGTAGTTGGAGATCTCCACGGCCACCTTGCAGGTCGTGGGGGTTCCGGCGATCACGGCCTCCACGTTCACCCCCCTGTACTCCAACGGTGGTCTGGTCCCCGTTCCTGCCATCCGGCTGGGAGTTCCGCTTCTCGGGCGTGACGTCTGTTACGAGATGAACTCTGCTCACATACGGGAGGACGGGGACGGGGGGTGGGGCTATCGGAGAACTTGAGAATTGACGATGAAATAATGACGGAAGCTGTAAAAGGGCCGTACATAAAGTACGTCACGCACATAGGAGGAGGAGGAAGGGGGGGGGTGTTTGAGAAATGTGACGTCACATCAAAATGCGCAACTTTAAATATAGACAACACGTTCTACTTAATTAAAGATACTTTTTTTTTAATAACATCAGAGTGCAGCGCCACATTAAATACGCACTACAGTGACAATAGTTTAAAGCGATTTGAAGCGTGTTTTTTTTTGGGGGGGGGGGCAGAGCTTTGTGACGTCATATTTGAGGGGGGGGGTCTGACTTTTTGTGACGCCGTGTGACGAGGGAGGTGGGGGGGGTCAAAAATCGTCACAAATCGCGTGACGTCATTTATGGGCGGCCCCAAAGTGCACAAGGATGAGGTGCACGCGAACTCCGGTTGTCATCCTCAGCAGCAGCAGGGCCGGCTGTTAGCTGGCCATCAAACAGAGATGGTTACCGCATCGCTCGTTTTCAGATGCTACACTACACACTATAATAGACTATACACTGCACTATACCCTACACTATACACTACACACTACACTATACACTACACTATACATTACACTATACACGACACACTACACTATACACTGCACTATACACTACACTATACACTACTATACACTACACTATACACTACACTACACACTACTATACACTACACTATAAGCTAAACTATACACTGCACTATATCCTCTACACTACACTATACACAGCACTATACACAACACTATATACAACACTGTACACTACACTATACACTACACTATACACTACACTATATACAACACTATACACTACACTATATACAACACTATACACTACACTATACACTACACTATACACTACACTATACCCTACACTATACACTACACTATACACTACACTATACACTACACTATACACTACACTATACACTACACTATACACAGCACTATACACAACACTATATACAACTCTATACACTACACTATATACTACACTATACACTATACTATACACTACTATACACGCCACTATACACTGCACTATACACTATATTTTCTACGACACTATACACAACACTATACACTACACTATATACTACACTATACATTACACTATACACTACACTATACACTACACACTACTATACAATACACCATACACTGCACTATACACTACACTATACACTACTATACACTACACTATACACTACACTATACACTACTATACACTACACTATTGGCTAGCCATCGAACAAAGACGGTCACCACATCACGTGGAACTTTCATACGCCCTTCTGCGGCCGTCTGGAACGCTCTTCCTTCCGATTTATAGGCAGCAACTGGAGCTATGCACTTTCAAATCACCTAGATTGACAAATTAATTTTCATAGATACTCTTTGGTTCTTTCGGTAAAGTCACGTAGGTATTAAATAAATCACGACGTTTCGGGCACAACACAAGCATGGTCTGCTGCTGCTGCTGCTGATGCAGACTGTTTTAAAACAGTCTATACACTACACTATACACTACAGAGCATGCTTGATGACGGACGCTTGTGGTGCGCCCGAAACGTCGTGATTTATTTTACTTTACACCCGCGTTACTTTACCGAAAGAGCCACAGAGTATGGATTCCTGCAGTCACGAAGGCTTCAAATCAAGATTATTGATTCATTTGTTATAGAACTGATTTGTGTTGAAAGTTCCTTGTTCTTCCCGGCGCACCTCCGATTAGCGCGGTTGGCTTAAGTACGGTGCGAGTTGCCAAACGTCAGCCTCGAAACCTTAACGACTTGGAGAAGATCTGCAAAAAAGGAGTGGGACAAAATCCTTCCTGAGATTTGTGTAAGCCTGGTGGCCAACTACAAGAAACGTCTGACCTCGGTGATTGACAACAAGGGTTTTGCCACCAAGTACAAAGTCATGTTATGCAGAGGGGGTCAAATACTTATTTCCCTAAATTAAAATGCAAATCAATTCATAACATTTTTGACATGCGTTTTTCTGGATTTTTTGTTGTTGTTATTCTGTCTATCACTGTTCAAATAAACCTACCGTAAAAATTATAGACTGATCATTTCGTTGTCAGTGGGCAAACGTACAAAATCAGCAGGGGATCAAATACTTTTTTTTTACGGATAAGAGGTTAATGGCGCGACTGATATCGACTGTTCAGTCAAGCAGGTGGGCTCGAGCAGGACACGTCGCTCGAGGGATGATCGTCTTTGGTCGAGACTCGGGGTGGAGTGGGGACCCAAGGAACATGCCCCGCGAGACGTCGTCCACTGCTGAGATAAAGCGAATGAATCCGACGGGGCCGTGCGCTAAATAGATTACAGCTTTGCGAGATGGTTAGTTAAACGATGTATTCATTTCACGTAAGACCCAGCGAGCTACTACATAGCTCTTTGCGAGTTTGCGTGCAAAAGAAAATGGTTACAGCATAGCTAAGTTTAAGCTGGCTACCATCATCCGCCTTGTTGTTCCAGAGTTCTGACGTTCCACGTTGCTCTGTTTGGAATGTTTTTTTTAAGATTTGCAATTGCTTTTTTGTGTTCTTTAGAATTGCTTCTTGTTGTTGTGTTTAGTTTGTTGTCCTTGCCCATGCACCTTCGATTAGCTGCAGTTGGCTACGTACGGTGCGAAAGAAGTTCAACGTACACACACTACACTATACACTCAAATACACACTACACCATACACTACATGCTACAATATACACTACTATACAGTCCACTATACACTACACTACTACACTATACACTACACACTATGTACTACACTATACACTACAATACACACTACACTATATACCACACTATACACTACAATACACACTACGCTACTATATACACTACTATACGCACTACACTATACACTACAATACACACTACACTATATACCACACTATACACTCCAATGCACACTACACTATACACTACTATACGCACTACACTATACACTACACTACTACACTATACACTATGTACTACACTATACACTACAATACACACTACACTATATACCACACTATACACTACAATACACACTACACTATACACTACACTACTACACTAAACACTACACACTATGTACTACACTATACACTACAATACACACTACTCTATACACTACTATACGCACTACACTATACACTACAATACACACTACGCTATACACTACAATACACACTACGCTACTATATACACTACTATACTCACTACACACTACGCTACTATATACACTACTATACTCACTACACACTACGCTACTATATACACTACTATACTCACTACACACTACGCTACTATATACACTACTATACTCACTACACACTACGCTACTATATACACTACTATACTCACTACACACTACGCTACTATATACACTACTATACTCACTACACTATACGCTACTATATACACTACACTATACTCACTACACACTACGCTACTATATACACTACTATACTCACTACACACTATACGCTACTATATACACTACTATACTCACTACACACTACGCTACTATATACACTACTATACTCACTACACACTATACGCTACTATATACACTACTATACTCACTACACACTACGCTACTATATACACTACACTATACTCACTACACACTACGCTACTATATACACTACTATACTCACTACACACTACGCTACTATATACACTACACTATACACTACACACTACGCTACTATATACACTACACTATACTCACTACACACTACGCTACTATATACACTACACTATACACTACACACTACGCTACTATATACACTACACTATACTCACTACACACTACGCTACTATATACACTACACTATACTCACTACACACTACGCTACTATATACACTACTATACTCACTACACTATACGCTACTATATACACTACTATACTCACTACACACTACGCTACTATATACACTACTATACTCACTACACACTACGCTACTATATACACTACACTATACTCACTACACACTACGCTACTATATACACTACACTATACTCACTACACACTACGCTACTATATACACTACACTATACACTACACACTACGCTACTATACACACTACACTATACACTACACACTACGCTACTATATACACTACACTATACACTACACACTACGCTACTATACACACTACACTATACACTACACACTACGCTACTATATACACTACACTATACTCACTACACACTACGCTACTATATACACTACTATACTCACTACACACTACGCTACTATATACACTACACTATACACTACACACTACGCTACTATACACACACACAAGCGTCTCACCTCGTCGAGCCGTGAAGGAGCGAGGTGGACAGTGACGCTCGCCTCCGACCTGGTGCTGGGGCCGTTCCTCGCTCTGCGGGGTCACGGTCAGGGAGAGGCGACCGCTCGACAAACTCTGAGCTCCTCCCCCTCCTACTCCTCCTCTACCCCTCCTCCTCCTACTACCCCTCCTACTCCCCCCTCCTACTACTCCCCCCCTCCTCCTCCTCCTCTACCCCTCCTCCTACTCCCCCCTCCTACTCCCCCCCTCCTCCTACTCCCCCCCTCCTACTCCCTCCTCCTACTCCCCCCTCCTACTCCCCCCCTCCTCCTCCTCTACCCCTCCTCCTACTCCCCCCTCCTACTCCCCCCCTCCTCCTACTCCCCCCCTCCTACTCCCTCCTCCTACTCCCCCCTCCTACTCCCCCCCTCCTCCTACTCCCCCCCTCCTACTCCCTCCTCCTACTCCCCCCTCCTACTCCCCCCCTCCTCCTCCTCCTCTACCCCTCCTCCTACTCCCCCCTCCTACTCCCCCCCTCCTCCTACTCCCCCCCTCCTACTCCCTCCTCCTACTCCCCCCACCTACTCCCCCCCCCCTCCTACTCCCCCCCTCCTCCTCCTCTACCCCTCCTACTCCCCCCCTCCTCCTACTCCCCCCCCTCCTCCTCCTATCTCCTCCTCCACCCCATCCTCCCCCTGCTCCCCCTCCCCTCCTCCTCTACCCCTCCTCTTACTCCCCC